ATACCATTTGCAAACCCTAACTCCAGATCTCTCATGTGAATCCTGTTGACCAGGGCTCCAGGTTTGCTTTACAGATCACCAGTTAGATATATTGTTTGTGATGTTTGTGGGTGCATGGGAGCATGCAAATTGGAGAGAAGTAGTTGTGGGAGTTCCTCAGTACTGAATTAGGTGTGTGCACTCAGGCCAGCTAGTCATTGAATTCTTACTTACAAAGGGTTTAACTTGCTCTCCCAGTCATATTGTGAGAACCAATGAACATTTTCTGATTTTTAGTAGGATTGGAAAACATTTATGGAGACTTTCCTGGTTAAACATTTGTGGAGACAGTGTTCCCCATACTAGCCAGCTGCAAAAAAAAAAAAAGTGTCAATTTAAATATTTCAGCTAAGTATATTCTGCAGTGTCTGCAACACAAAATTGAAATGTGCCAGTATGTCAGCTTTCCACCTGGATGACACTGTATATTTGGAAAGCTTACGCTTCTCTAAATATATGTTATTAAGCCATATCACAGTTTAAGAAATTGTATATTCTTTTCCATATTTCCACTTCAGAATCCAGGTATTTTGCATATGGTTTATTTTAGAAAGATTTTGAAGCTGGAGTTTTTCCTATGTAATTAAGATCAAAGTATATGTATGTGTACTGTATTTGCAATTTTCAAATTGTAATTTCCTATACATTTATTAAATAAAGTGTTGTTTTGCTGTGTGGCTTATAAAAAAAAATGAAAATGTACAGTCCCTCAAATTAAATTTCTGTTCCTTTTATTGATTAATAGTGGTAGGCATTGAGACATTTTTCTTGAAAAGCATTGGAAAATAGATTATAAACTATCCAGTTTTATAGACTCTTAGATGTTTAGAAATAAACCTGAAAAAATCTTCCAGATGGGAATAAAAGAGATATCAAAGACCTTTCTCTTTTGATATCAGTCACTTGTAGTGCCCCTACAATCCCAGCAACAATGGCAGAAAGAAAAGAAAGAAGCCACAGTGAAAGTAAGATTGCTGAGGACTATTGAGAAGTCTGAAAATAATGGCTTGATAACTCTCCAGTACTGTGGAGCAGGGGTTATCAAACTATGCCTCACAGGCCAGATCTGGCCTGCAGCCTGTTTTGTTTGGCTCAAGAGAAAAGAATGATTTTTATATTCTTTAACGGTTAAAGAAAGAGTAATATTTCATGATATGTGAAAATGAACCTTAAATAAATTTCAGAGTCCATAAATGTTATTGGAATGCAGCACACTCGTCCAATTATGTATTGTCTATGGCTGCTGTTATGCTACTGTAGTGAAGTTGAGTAGTTGTGACAAATATAAAATATTTACTATCTGGCCCTTTATAGGAAACATTTGCCAACCCCTGGTATAGACTGTTGTACCATTTTAAGGCTATAACAGCATATATGGATGCAGCAAACTCTTCTAGAGACCACCTGGAAATTTCCATGACTGGTAAATCTGAGGCCATCTGAGTCACTAAAGGTTTTTTCCCCCTCCTTTGACCTTTTTTTTTTTAATCCCCCTTTGGGTTTGGGGCAGAAATATGAGAAAAGTGTAGCAAGATTTCAAATATTATCCGTGAACTGTATGCTCTATCTAACATTCACTAGCAAAGCAGTTTTCTCCCCAGAACACCATGATCACCAGGTTCATTTAAACATATTTTTCACCGTAAGAGCTTATTCACTTGATTTTTCACTTAAGTTTTATAACAAAAAATAAAGGAAATAAAAATGTATGTAGAGTACCTTACGTAGTTCGTGCCATTTGGGAGCTCACAAATGAAAAACAACATTTAATCTGCTAAATAAAATGAAAATTGGTTATCAGGCTCTTAATATGTTCTTTAAAATT